AAGAAATACCTTCAACGATGAGCTTAGCAGTGCAGGAAATCTCCTTGCCAGCATTTTTGGCAATGCAGGTGTAGTCTCCGGTGTCTGACAGCTGGACATCAATAATGTGGAGTTTGCGATCTTTACCGTCAGAGGTAAACTTGTGTTTAGGACTCTCACGCAGATTACAGTCGTCCTTCATCCAGGAGGTTATGGCGGTGGAAGGGGATACCTCACACTCAAACACAGCAGAGGAACCAATAGACTCAGCCTCCTGCAGCACAATGTTCTGCAGCTTTTTGATGAACTTCAGCGGGACAGCCTTCAGCTTGAACCCTCCAAAGGCCGGTTCCTCAGGAGGAGGTGGACCTTTACCAGGTCTTAAACCACGACCTCGGCCTTCACCCGGAGACGGGGTCTGTTTGGCTGAAAAAACAAACATAACTGGTAAGTATTTGCCCTTCTTTAAAAAAAAAACTGACCCAGTTTAGCTAAATTAAGCTATTTTTTTTTAATGCAACAAGCTCTGCAGCTTAACTGCAGGTCGGAACCCTTGAACCAATTGCTCTCACTTTCACTACCCGTTCAGCCTGAATCCATCAAATAGCACCACTTCTGGTACATACTTACGTTTTAGGCCTCGTCCTCTGCCGGGCGCAGTTTCTTCTGTCGGTTTTCCCTCTGTTTTAAAAATAATGTAAACACATTTATTTATCAGAAAATGGTCACATGACATGTTGTTTTTCATAAATAGGCGAAGAACATAAAGAGGTGACTTATGATCACAGAAAAATCAAGTTATTGTCGTGATTGTTATGGGACAATGAGGAGATGTAAAACTTTGAGCAGGACATGTTGGACCCAACAACCAATTAATGGTAGGACACAGGAGGTACAAGAGTACGACCAAAGACTCGAAAACACAAACACAAAAAGATGGATGACAGAAAATAAGCCTCGGGTTAGAGAAGATGCAGCGTCAAATGTTTTAAATGATGGTGAAGTTGGTGGGAGATGATGATTTTTGATGAAGGCGGAGGTTTGGCCATCACCATCTCACCTCTCCTGGCCACACCCGGCACCTCTAGGGTACCTTCTTGTGGTTCCTCCTCCCAGTCTTCTGAGCCAGCACTGTCTCGTGGAACCAGCTCCCAGCCCCAGGCCTCCTCCTCCTCCTCCTCCTCTTCTCTCAACTCAGATTCTGCACTGAACTCCTCCTCAAACACCTCCTCCTCTGGCTGGGTGGCAATCTTCTTCATCTGCACTGCTCCAGGAGATATTTCCTTTGCTAAGGGAATTTTGTCTGTGTCGGGTTTTTCAGGTTTATCGGTCTTCTCCTCTGGTGACACCTTTTTTAGAACCTTTTTAAGAGTCACAGCTTCTATAGACTCTTTGGGGGAAACTGGTGAAGGACCCTTCTTGAGTTTGTCCAGACTAGGTTTTTTCTTGGGAGCTTCCTCAACTTCCTTGACCTGCTCTGCTCCTGGTGATGGAGTTTTCTTGAGCTCAATTTTCTTAATCTGCTCCAGGGGTTTCAGAGCCACCGGCTGCTTCTCCTCTCCCACTTTGGGAATGACTCCTTTCTTTGGCTCCAGAGGTTTGGGTTTCTCTTCAGCAATTTTAGCAGGAGACACTTTCTTCTCCACAGGAACTACCTTCTCCTCCTTTATCTTCTCTTCAGGAGTCTCGGGGACCCCAGGTTTCTTTGGTTGAATCTTTGGTTCTTTTTCTTTTCTTTCAGGAGTTCTAACACGCTGCAGGTCATCACTTGGTTTCAAGACTTTATCCTCTTTAGGCTTCTGAGCAGTTTCTATTTCCTCTTTGGAAGGTTTGGGGGTGGGTTTCACCTTTACACTTTCAACCTCTGGAGATATTTTCTTGATCTTGGAGGGTGGTTTGACTTTTTCTATCTCCTCTGGAATTTTCTTCTCTCCTGGCTTTAGCTTTTCAGTCTTCTCGACATCTTTTACATCTGATGGTATTTTCTCAGGTTTCGTTGGCTCACCTTTGGGTTCCACCTCTTTAGGAATACGCTCACCTTTCTGGAAAGGCTCAATTACCCTCTTCGGTTTTTCCTTTTCTTCTTTTTCCACCTCCTCTGCCGGTTTCAATTTTTTATCAAATGGTTTCAGTTTCACTACTTCTGGTTCCAAGTCATCCTTAGGTAACCTCTTTACTTTCTTTAAGGCTGAAGGAGGTGGAGTCGGTTCCTCTTCCTTTTGAGCACGGGGAGACTTTTCAAGTGAAATTTTCTCCTCTGGTTTCTTATCTTTGGGGACAGGTTTCTGTCGTGTCCATGCATCCTTGGGGGCTTCACTGAGGTCTACTTTCTCAGGTTCAACAACTTCCGGCTTCTTCAGCAGCTCTGCTTTCTCCAAAGATTTCTTTTTCTCCACTGGTCTCCTGGAGGCAACATGCATTTCCACAGCTTCTTCCTTAGTAACTGTCTCCTCAACGTGCCACACCGTGGTCTTTGTGACCTTTTGAGGTTTCATCTCTTCCTCAACCTCTTTGGACGGAACTGACGGAATCTTCTTAAGTTGTATCAATTCCTGTTCCTGCTTCACCTCCTTGACCACGTGAGTTACCTTTTTCAAGGCAGGAATCTCAAAAGTCCCACCTTCCTCCACTGGAATTTTACCTTTTTTGGGCTGAAGAATTTCTGATGCAGCAGAGAGTCGATGTTACAGAGGGTTACAAAACATTAAAACCTTTGACAAAAACCAAGACTAAAGACAATGTAAAACAACATTTTTTTGTTTTACTTTACTACAAATTCAGACACAACGACAAAGAGAAAACAACTTCTCCAAAACAGACAGCGGTCTACAGCCTCCTGGTGGACTAAAGAAGCTCTCAAGTTAAGAAGTAGTTTAGTCTTTTTGGAAGAGTTAAGTTACAACTACTATTTATTACTTTTGGTGCTGGTTGCAGCGTTCAGCATAAGGAAATGTTTTAAAGTCTTGGTTTTAGTGTTGTTGTTTAGTGTGTGGATTATACTGCATTTGTAAAATGTTGTGAAACAAGTTCACTGAATATGTTGATCGCTATCGTCTAAGGAAGTGCTAGTAAATCGCCAATAAAAAAAAATGGCAGTCTGAGAACTTGTCTTTTCTGTCATCACACATGCAAACAAACATGCCCGCTACTGCTCAAGGCTGATTAACAAAAAGGCAAAATTACGAAGTTCTTCCATTTCATTTCTACACAATAAAGGCTATATAAAAAAGAATGATCAAGTTAAACACTTCCATGTGAAAGAAAACCTCCAGCACTTACTTACTTAAACTAGGAGCTACATTTATGTGCTACCCATTTAGGGACATTATTAAAATTGATTCGCTTGCATAAAAACTTGCAACACTATTTCACAGCATGCAATTTTGAAGGGACAGACCTACATTTAGCTTAAGTTCTACATGTTTCTTTACTTTTCTTTTCTTTTTAAGTTGTCAGCAATGGTGTGACGTGAACAGTATTCAGTGTTCTTACCTTTCTTGACTCCTCCTGGTGCTTGGACGGGACCTTTGGCTTCATCTAACGAAAAGAAGTTTAAGTTTAGAAAGTTGCAAAAAAAAAGCAGAACATGTTTGGATTTTACAAACAACGGCCAAGGAGAACTTTCAACAAAACAAAACAAAAATTTCGAAAAGTGATTAAGATCAAACTAGGTGATGACTTAGTGAAGAAAAAGGTGTGATAAATGAAGTAAGTAATGTTATCAGAAATCAATGACTAAGGAAGAACAAAACAACACACACAACAAAAAAGATTTTCCAGAAAAAAAAAGATTTTCCAAAAAAAAAAAGATTTGACAAAATGTCCATCTGTGTCTGTTAAACAAAATGACAGACACATATGCTTTATTAATACTTCATGAATAAAGAGGTAATTAGGAAATTTAAAAAAAAAAAAAAAGTGCTTTATTAATACTTTATGAATAAAGAGGTAATTAGGATATTAAAAAAAAAAATTGCCACTGGAAGTTTTTTTTCTCAACTTGCACCCAGTACCCATTCTGTCCCTGAATTATTGCTGTAAATTGCTCTTAATTTCTCTAAACATTCCTGTAACTTTGTACGTTATGGTATAGTTCTTGGTACTGTCCTCCTCTCAATGTACACTACTCTCCCTAATTCCCAATACTGTTCTGGTAACTTTCCTTAATTCCTAGCACAGAAACCACATCTTTCCCATCCTCTTTTTTCTGTACAGCTTCTGTAACGGTTCCTACTTCGTTGTAGGGTTCATCTAAGTGTACCACAATCTTGGTTTCTGTAACTGTTTTAAAGGACAGGCACAGTTACTGCAACTTTGCTATATTCCTGGTATAATTACAGTTCTGTTACTATTCCTAATTATCTCAATCTTGCCTCAATCTAGCTGAGCAGTTGCTGTATATGTCTCCAATTCCTAGTACAGTCACACCCGTATAGTTTCCGTAACTATCATGTATTTCCGTGTTAGTTCCTGTAACTATCCCTTATTGTCTGTATGTTGTCTGTAAATGCGCCAAAATTCTGGCAGTTCCTCAATTCCTCTGTGCAATTTGCGCAGCTCTCCTTATTTCTTGTTACAATTTCTGCAGTGGGATACCTGGCTTTGTTTCTTCTGGTGGAGTCACTATCTTCTCCAACGTCTTGACTCTGTCAGTAATATCTGTCGGTTTAGCAGTTTCTTCAACTTGTACGGCAGCAGGAACTTCTCTTGCTTGAAAATTAAAGTATGACAAAAAAAGAATTCAAAACAATGCCAAATGCTAAAGGCCAGTTCTGCTGGGGTTTTTTTTTTCCCACGGTGAAGTTGGGGGAAGAATATGTTTGTTTGTTTATTTCAAGATTCAAGAGTGACATTTTTTTATCAATGTCAGGTGAAATAAGAGAAACGAAAAGTGCTAAACAAACCGTGAGGGGAATTGCTACCTGGTTCAGGAGCAGCTGGTGTTACAACCAGTCCCTTGGGCTCTGGTGCCTGTGCAGTTGGTGCAGTTGGTGGAGACACCTTCTCCTCTGCAACTAAAATCAAATCATACAACAATCAGAGCAACATAAAAAAATGGTGTGGTCTGACAGTGAGGCATGCAGAGATATTAGAGCAAAGAAAAGTTTGGTGGTTGAAAGATGTGCCAGAAGGAAGATCCTGATACGTGTTTGTGCAGCAACACAAACTCAACGGACAAAATTAGTTGAAAGAACAAGAACGCGTTCTCAGACGCTGTGCAGGGCAAGAAAACAGACATCTTCAAACATGATGTGTGCTGTGACATGGAAGTGCTCTGGGAAAAAAAAAAACAGTTAAATATCTTAAAACCTCTTGGAGAAAACAATGGAAACAGAAAGTGTGATTACCAAGTGTGGTGGCCAATGCCAAAAAAACAAAACAAGACAGCAACAAAAGAAAGAAGTCGTGCTCAGTGACACAGATATAACGTCTCTGTGTACCTCCGGATGATTGTTCTGCTTTCAGAGACAACTGTCTGGTCTCAGGCACTGAGTGAAGTCCTGGAGGTTCTTCATCTTCTCTGGTTAATCTCTGAACATTCTGTGGTGGGAATTCATAATTCTCTTCCCAAACTTCTGGAGCGTGGGATTTGTGGTGTGTGGTCTTTGTCTGAATGATATTTGCTTTGGGCATTTCTGTTACTGAAGGTTCAACGGGCTTTGCTTTTGTTGACACTTTGTATTTTTTGGATATCTCATCTTTCATTTCTTCCTGAGCTGTTAGATGTTTTCCTGTTACTGCTTCTGTCTGTTTTTCAGATGTGGGTAGTTGTTCTGAAACACTGCCCTCCCCCAATGAATCCAATTCTGTTGCTAAACTCAGTGGCTGCTTTTGTACTTGTTTCTCATGAATCTTTATGTTCTGGGGCTTTGGTCTAGATTTCTCCAGAGTTTTATCACTTATTTGGTCAGTTTTTGAGTGGCCTTTCTTTACGGAATCGCTAGGTCTCTTATCAACAACATCGAGTATTTGAACACTTTCTTGCAGCAGAATCTCTTTCACTTCACATTCTACCGGTTTGTCAGAAACAAGACTATCTGGCAACTGAAACGTACTTGTCCGTGAAGCACTTCTGTCTAAGATCATTTCTGGTTCAGTATTTGGAGTAACAGAAGGTCTCTTTTTTTCTCTCGATAATGTGTCAGCCACAGATTCTGGAGTTTTACCAACATTCTCCAATTTTTGGGTCGAAATCGCAATGTTATCCCCGGAAGCCTCCAAAATCGGGAGAGCTTCTCTAACACAAGCCCGAGATTTTAAATCTTTATTTTCAACCAAAAGATGTTGCTCAAATGGTACCTCCATTACTGGAGCAACTGAACCAAATTTCTCCACATGTTCTGATTTACTGTACGTTTCAGATGGTGTAGCCGTATCATCTACCACTGCAGTTAGTGTAGACTGTGGTGTGATGTTTGCATCTTGCACTTCTTTTAGCTTCTCCAACGGAATATCCTTTGTCTCTACATCTCTAACCTTGAGATCTTCTAACGCAGCGTCTCTGTCCTTCAACAACTGAGATCTTACCGGAGCAACATCAACGTCAGAAGCCAGCGAAAAGCTACTTTCTGCTTCTTTCTGCCGTGTGTCTGTTACCAAGGTCACAGGTGACTTATAATCATCTTTGACTAGGACTATTTCTGACTGAAATTCTTCAAGGGAAACTTTTAAATCATCGGCTGTTTTCTTCACTGTTGGTTTCGCCGACTGAATGCCCCTCGTCTCTACTTCTGTCTTTGTCCTATCAAAAGGCGTACCACTGAGTTGGGGTTTAAAGATGGCCTCCTCTGGATGACTTTTTGACATTCTTGTTTTAACATTTTTGGCTGTGGTTTCTGATATTTCTTTAGCTGTTTGAGGTTGTGAAGTCTCTTCAGTTTTTATCGCCTCAGTTACTAGACAACCTTTTGCTTTTCTTTCATCTTGTTTCTGGTTGGATTCTTCGGACTTAAAGTGAAGATCTTGAGTGTTATAATTTTCTAAAGTGACCTCTGGTGCTTTCAGTTGATATAAAACGCTGTCTTCTCCTTTAAGACTCACTTGGTTTGGTTCTATTAAATCTTGATATTGGTCTTTGGGTTCCAGTTGTTTGATCCTTATTTCTTCTTTTATCAATCCCGAGGCAACTCCAGGTTTATCATATATCTCATAAAAGTCCCTTTTAATTGACATCACCTCATCGGTTTCAGATTTTGCCTGTCCTTCCAATACCTGCATTGATGTTTCTGCTTTCACTTCTGTTGCAGATACTCTTGAAAACTTTTCTTTATCCTGGTCCTCATCCGTTTGGATGTCTTCACCCAAAGAGACTCTGTCATCTTGAAGTTGGACTACACTTGTCTCAGACTCAAAAGACAGAGGTCTTACTTCACTCTTTTTAGAAGGTTTTAATTTCTTTGCCTTCGTATCTTTGGTCAAAATTTCCGCTTCTTCAAACATGGGTTCTTCGGTTGTGGTTTCCTTCAAAGCATCATTCTTCTTTAGCACATCAGTCTCTGTTTTTGTCGATGTCAAATCTCCGCTGTGCTTTTGTCTGCTTGTTGTTTTTGTATCCGCGCTGCGTTTGTCTTCTGCCCTTACTTTCCCTGGCTCTGGTTGTTCCGGTTCATCTTTAGCACTAACAACTTCAGACTTTCTTATTACATTTGTCAAAGGCGGCTCTGGAATCGTACTTTTGATTAGTTCCAGTTTGGGCTCTGTTAAAGTAGTCACAGTTCCGAAATCATGCTTGACTTTCTCAATTTTTGACAATTTTTCTATTGGGAATGCGCGCTCTTCTTGTCTTTTTTCTAATTTCTGGGCATTATCTTCTATCTGCTTTGACTTTGTTTGGTCCTTTTGTATTATCTTGTCTTCTGTCATAGCTGCTTTCTCTTCTCTAGTTGTAGATTTTATTTTAAGAGTTTCCTCAGGTCCGACACTGTCAACCTTCTTCCAATTGTCCTGCATCTCAAGAGTTTCCTCAGGTCCGACAGTGTCAACCTTCTTCCAATTGTCCTGCATCTCCTTTTTATCTAGGGATAACACGTTGCTAATTTCTTTAATTGGAACATCCTTTTGTTTTGTTGGTCCAACATCTTTGTCATCAGATTCAATTATTACAATTTGTTGTGGGACATCAGTCTCAATAATTGTATCTGTTTTTACACTTGGAGCTTTTTTAACTGCCTTTTCTGACTGCTTCACTTCTTCAACAGATTCACTCACTGCCACTTTAACCAATTTGGTTTGTTTTTGTCTCTCATTTGAGGACTTTGGTTTCTTTGAAATAGTGTTCTTATCAGTTGGTACCACGACCATTTCTTTAGTTTCTAAGACCTTTTCAGATATCTGCTGAGATTGTTTGAAAGTTTCTTCTGGTAAAGGTGGAACTGAAACATCTGTTTTAGTTGTTTCTTCTTCCGCTTTTGCTTGTTTCAGATAAACAGCTTTGGATGTTAGATCTTTCTCCAGAGGTTCAGTGATTTTATGTTCTTCAGCATACACTGTTTTGCTTTCAGCGATTTGTCTTTCGTTAGATGCCGGCATTTTCTCTTCTACCACTGAAGTAACTCCAAACTCTTTGGTTTCTGAGAGCTCCTTATTTGCCACTCTTTCTTCAGTCACATCTGAAACTTTAACTTTTTGTTTATTAGTATTTTCTTCAGCTTTTGTGTGTTTAAGAGAAACAGTTTCAGAAGGTAGATCTCTAACTGTTCTGTCATCGATCTCCAGAGGTTTTGGGATTTTACGTCTTTTGGGATGAACTAATTTGGTTTCTGCCTTTTTTATTTCGTTAGATGCTGGCACTTTCTCTTCTTCAACTGAAGAAATGCCAAACTCTTTGGTTTCTGAGAGCTGTCTATTTGCCACTGTTTCTTCAGTCACGTTTGTAACTTCAGTTTTTGTGTGTCTCAGAGAAGCAACTTTGATTTGTAACTTCTTCAGCTTTTGTGTGTCTTAGAGAAGCAACTTTGGAAGTTAGATCTTCCACCGTTGTGTCAACGGTCTCTGGAAGTTTTGTGATATGGGGGTCTTGCGCATTTACTAATTTTCTTTCCATCTTTTGTAATTTGTTCAATTTTGGAATTGTATCTTCTTCAGCTGAAGCAACGCCACGCTCTTTGGTTTCTAATAACTCTGTGTGTACCACTTTTGGTTTTGGTGACAATTTCTCGGCAACATCTGTAACTTCAACATTTCTATTACATGTTTCTTTTGCAGTTTTAGCCTGTTTAAGCGAATATACAGAGTCACATACTTTTTCAGATGTTACTTTTAGAGGAGAAACTTCAACTGTACTAGTATTTACTTGTTCTACCATCATTTTTGTCATTATCTGTTGAGGTTCCTTTGGATGAATTGTCAAAGTTTGTTGATCATGTTCACGTGAACCTCCTCTGGCTGAACATGACTGAACTCTGTCAATTTGATCTTCAATACTTGTGGATTCAGGTTGTTCACGTGCTTGTTTTAATACTTTTGATAGTGTTTCCTCATTTGGTGCTAAGATGACGTCTGAAGGTGTTTTTTGTTCTTTTAAATCTCCTCCTAGAATTGCTAATTGAACATTACTTTCTTTAGTTTGATCTTTAGGTATGCTAACCTGTAGCTTCTCATCTTCCCTTGATATCTGGATAGGTTTACTTTGATGATGTTCTTGAGATTCACCTCGGGCTTCACGGACATTTTGTTTCTCTATATCTTTTGGAGCTGCTGGATGTTTTCTGCCTTTTGGATCTCCTGTGGTTTCTATCTGCTTTCGAGTTTTCTCTTCACCTCTTGTTTTCAGGACAGTGTGTTTAGGACACTCTTCACTTCCATGCCAAGTTTCCTTTTGTTTATCTTCATGCTGAACAGTCTCTTCTCTATTCCCTACAATTCTGATGGTTTTCTGGTCTTGCTGAGAAACAAGTTTTCTTTCTGTTATTTTGTCGTATGGTCTTGTATTGTCTTCATCTTTCGGTGTCACGACAACATTGTCTGTTTCTGAACGTTTTTCAGGTACTATTTTGAGAAAGCCTTCTAGCAAAGGTTCAACCAAAACACTACTTTGACATGTTCCTTTAAGGGGAGAACTTTTAACCAGCAGATCTTTCACTGTGCTGACCTTTACTTGGTCTCGTTCAACCGATATTTGGACAGGTTTTTGTCCAGGTTCATGAACAGAAACTGTTACAAGTTTGGTTTTTTTCTTTTCATTTTCTTCAGGAAAACTACCACCAAATAATTTCACTGTTTCAGAATACATTTTCTTCAGGAAAACTTCCACCAAATAATTTCACTGTTTCAGAATCATCCTGAGTCGTTGCTTCAGTTGATGAAGTGGTTTCATCCACGGCCACATTTGATTTTAGTCTCTTCTTTTTTGATTTTAAACCTTTATCTTTATCAGTTGGCGTTGAAACGAACGGTTTCGTTTTTGAGGCATCTTCACGTGTTACTTCAAGTCCATGTCTTTCAGATGTCTCCTGACATGTTTTCAGTTCTTTTAAACTTGTAATTTTGTTTGGATTTTGTTCTATTTCCTCTAAAAATGTAAAACCGGTCATATCTGTTCCCTCATCTCTGTATTGCTTTTGTACAATTTCTCCAGCTTTTTCATGTTTCCTTGATACGGTTACCTCAGTCCAGTCTTGAACCATCTGAGGATTTACCAGCTGTGTCTCCTGAGGAATAGTTTGGACAGAAACATCCACACCAGTGATTTTTCTTCCAATGGTCTGATCAGATTCTTCTGTATCCACTCTGACATTTACATCAACAATTTCTGCATCAGCATCTCGGACAGAAAACCTGTCCTTATTAGATTTGTGTACTCTGAGCTGTTCCTGAACTTCCTTTCCATCAAATGTCCTCTCTGTCCTGAAAGACTTCTCTTTAGATTGAAGAATAAGTTTGGTTTCAGGTCCCTGCATATTTGAACCATCAGTAACAGAATTATCACCACTATCTTCAGACATTATCGTCTGATCATATCTGACATATTTGGCCATGGGTTCTCCTTCATCCTTCTCGTAAAGTGTGCCACTTGTCTGGCCCTCGACCTTCTCCTTTTTCAAAAGAACTTTTGTTATCTTCTCAGCTCCTGCTGGTTTTTGCGCTCCTACAGGACCAGTTCTGGCCCCTTTTGAGGACAGAAAACTTAATGAGTCGAAGAAAAGGTGCCATATTGCGGCACCAAGGTGTTAGTAAACAAAGAATTGCACAAAAAAGAATTGGAGTTAAAGATGACAAAGAGACTATAAGTAATTGAGAAGAGGCGCTTTTTTTGTACCTTTTTCTGGTGGTTTTTCGTTGATCTGGACCTGAGTGTCAGCAGGTAGAGTAAGACTGGCCTCAGCTTTATCTTCTGTTTCTTTAGAGATAATTAAGTTTGTGTTTAAAACAAGATATTTAGGAGACAAAAAAGAGATTTTTTTTTCAAAGGGATGAAAAAGGCACTCCCTTAGAAAAAGCAGAAACATGTACGGATATATATATATTGATGGGGCTGAAATGACTAATGATGATGATGATCCTTGCTGTACGTTTTTAAAAAAAGAGATGAAGAAAAGATAAGAAGATTGAGATGTTTTCTCTGTACCTCTTGGTCCAGACTTTGGAGGACACAACTGTTTCCACTCCTGTTCTGAAGGTTTCACATCTTCTTTTGGCTTTTCGTCAACAAAAACATCCTTCTTCATCTTTTGGTTTGCTTCTTCGTCAGCTTTTACAGTGACTGGTTTAGGCTCAGTGTCTAGTCTGGTTACCGCCTGAAACTCAACATCTATTACTGACTCTTCGAATTGGATCTGGCTGTCAGGATGGGGTTTTTCGCTCAATTTGGCTTTCAGAGCTATCTTATCGGGTTGTTGTGTCTTTCTCTCTTGTTTGTTAACCAAATCCTTTGCTTTGACTTGATCTTCTGACGCAGGTTTCAGACTTTGGTTTGTTGTTTTTAGTTCAGAGATATTCTTAGCTACCTTCAGATTATCTATGGACTCTTCAGGTCCTTTAGATTTCGGTTTTTCGGTCACCGTCTCTCGAGGAGCATCAGATATCTCATTAGATTTTAACTTCTTTTCCACTGCTACCTTTTTCTTCTCTAGTTCTTTTGGTTTGATCTGTTTGATTACTGAATCTTTTGTTTTGACTTGATCTTCTGATGCCGGTTTCAGACTTTGTTTTGTTGTTTTTAGTTCAGGGATATTCTCAGCTACCTTCAGATTATCTATGGACTCTTCAAGTCCTTTAGGTTTCGGTTTTTCAGTCACTGTCTTGCTTATAGCTTTAGCCGTCTCATCAAATTTGAACTTCTTTTCTACTTTTACATTTTCCTTGTCTGGTTCTTGTGGTTTGATTTGGTCTTCTGCTCCCTGTTTTGATTGATCAACACTATCAACAGCTACCTTCAACTCCTTTTGCTCATTGGGTTTAGATTTGACCTGCTCTGAATATGTCTCTTTAGATTTTAGAATTTCCTTTTCAACTTCTTGCTTCCTTTCTGACTCTTTTGGTTTGAGCTGACCTTTAGGTTCAGCTTCAGGTTGTAATTTTGGCTTGGGTTTACCAATAGTCTTTTCTGTTTCACGTATTGTTTCTTCTAGCTTAGTTGGCTCATCTTTGGCTTGGACTATGGTCTGCTCCAGTTTTTCAAATTCTCCAGGACTTTTCTCTGCCTTAATCTTGACTTCGGTCAAACCCTGAGATTTTTTCCTAGACTCAACACTGATTAAACCTGAAGTCAGTTCAGTTCTATCTGCCTCTTGTTCAGTTTCTTTGTCTAAACTCTTGTGAACTTCTATTTTAGCTCTGACTCTTATTTCTTTTCTTTTGTCTCTTTTGTTTTTTTGAGTGCCAGTTTCTTTTGAAGAAAGGTCATGACTGACTGATGTGACAATAGTACTGTCCTCCCTTTCCCCATCAATGTCCCATACTGGAGACTCAACTGCCATGATTACAACAGAGTCAGTAACAGAAATCTTTGTTTCAGACTCAGACCTATCTTGAGTTTTGCTCAAAGAAGCCACTTCCTTCTCATACAAAAATCTGGTTTGTTCTTCAGCGATCTGTTTGTGTTCACAGAGAATTAGTTCTTCTTTCTCCAAGCTGGGAACCTCTCTCTCCACATTACGGAAAATGTCCTGTTTCTCCTGAGGTTCTTCACTCTTCGTGATATTCACAGACACTGGTTGATTTTAAGAAGAAGGCGTCATGTAATGGCGCCAAGATGTGACAATAAAACAGAGTAAGTGAGTTTTAGAGACAAGACATAGGTTTAAGAGATGTTGATAACCCACCTTTGGTGTGTTATCAGGTTAAAACTTCTCATTAAAACGAGGTTAAGTAAAAGACGTTAACGACATCATCATCCTGGACATTTCTGAGTGTCTGTACCTTTTCCTGGAACAACGGCTTTTTTCTCCGCTGCCATCTTTTCCTCAGCCTCAGTCTTCTCCGTCTTCACCCTCTCTTTGTCTTTTAAAGAAGGACAAGAGAACAAAAAAACAAATGACGAAAAATCAACAACAATTAAGATGTAAGAAAATGTAACAATGTAAAAACAATAAAAACGTAAGAATGTAAAAACACAACAGAACACAATGGCACAAGACGTTGAAGAAAAAGAAGGGAGGAAGAATAAAAAGAAGAATTCTTTGTGTAGGTGTGGCAAGTCTTGATGACATCAAGTGAGCACTTGATGTCATCAAGACTTGATGGTGATACTTGACTCATAAGATAAATACTTTAATACATTTTAATAATAAGGCTATAATCACATTTTCTCAAATTTTCAAATTTTAATCATCTAAAATTTAAACCTTAATTTAAATTAAAACAGCAGGATTTCCCGCTTAGGATAAATTCTAGACACAATGTGGACTCACAATGGCAGATCACTTTGTTATATTGTGGGCCTGCCCCCTTGTTCAACTATACTA